TCCTGTCTAGGTTGAGGTATTTAAGCTGACCGTAAGGAAACACCTGTACCTGGGAACCGACTTGAGGGTTGAATTAGTCAATATTTTTATGCATACAATAATGTCATTAGTTTATTAAAATGTTTGATAAACTAAAACATTATTGTACAACTTCCAATATAAATAATTTGCGCGGACTAAAAATTCACTTAGTTAATTTCACTTAGCCAGTATTTAACTAAGTAGTATACCATAGTCTTAGAATACTAAGTGGGAGCAAAAGAGAATGTGTTATATACCACGTATATTTTTGATATACAAGGTATATATGACATTTTTTTTTCACTCACGTTTCTCCTTAATGTTCACACTGTGAGTTCCATGCTCGACCTTGTGTCTCCCTGGGCGTGGCCTCCCTACGGAAGGTGTTTACATGGTTCAATATCGAGGTGAACGAATATAGTATTCATAGTAAGTGGGAAAAGGACGTGTGACAACACATCCTACGGTCTCCACCATTGGTTTGCACCGTGAGATTTCATACATGACTTGCGTGTCGTCCTGGTGCGACCATCCCTACGGAGGGCCCATTGTATGGAGTCGAAACTAAGGCAAACTCCAGAAATGGATAAGGCTTTCTTAGGTTTTGCTCCAATATTTTCCTTCCCTACGTGGGATTATTGGAGCGGATCTCTGAGATTCTAAAATGATGGGTCACACGTACGGGAGTTGTTAAGCTAGTTAGCAATTCCCTGACCGAATAAAAGATGACTAAAGGTTATAGGAATAACAGTTATTCTAGTGTAAGATTTAGTTGAGAACGTCTCAATTAAGTGAAAGGGTAGCTGTCTGCCCTACGGTAGCTGTTGCTCTAAATCACTTAAGCATCGTTGCAAAACAATTTTGTTAGGGTGCTTAATTACTTTTGCTAAAATTTGATTAGGTTTAAAGGATAGTGCATGAAACTAATATAGGTGTGTTTTTATTTTTAGCATGCCTACTTTTATTGCCTTATTAGCCGTGGAAAAACTTAACGGCGAAAACTACAAACAATGAAAATCGAACCTAAACATTATACTAGTGATAAATGATCTTAGGTTTGTCTTGCAAGAGGATTGTCCTCAAGCTATTGCACCTGACGCCACTGTGGCAGAGCGCAACGTCTATGACCGCTAGATGAAGGCCAATGACAAGGCCAAAGTCTACATCTTAGCGAGCATATCTGATGTGCTTGCTAAGAAGCACGAGGACACGGTCACCGCTAAGGAGATCATGGACTCACTGCAGAACATGTTTGGACAATCGTCCTCACAGGCTCGACATGAAGCCCTTAAGTTCATTTACAACTCCCGTATTAAAGAGGGCTCCCCGATGCAAGAACACGTTCTCAACCTGATGGTCCACTTCAACGTGGCAGAGTCGAACGAGGCGGTCATAGACGAGCAGAGTCAGGTCAACTTCATTCTAGAATCTCTTCCAAAGAGTTTCTTGACATTCTGCAGCAATGCGGTTATGAATAAGCTGGAGTATACTCTTACCACACTCTTAAATGAGCTACAGACCTACAAGTCTCTTATGAAAAGTAAGGAACAAGAAGGGGAGGCAAATGTTGTCACCTCAAAGAGGTTCCATCGAAGTTCATCCTTTGGACCCAAGTCTGCGCCCTCTTCTTCTAGAAGTAAGACTTTCAAGAAGAAGAAGGCGACTGGTAAGGGGTCTAAACCTGACTCGACTGCTACAGCTGCCAAGAAAGGCAAGGCCAAGGTTGCAGACAAAGGAAAGTGTTTCCACTGCAACGTGGACGGGCATTGGAAACGCAATTGCCCGAAATACCTGGTCGAGAATAAGAAAGCCAACGAAGGTAAATATGATTTACTTGTTTTGGAAATATGTTTAGTGGATAATGATGACTCCGCCTGGATATTAGATTCATGAGCCACTAATCACGTTTGTTCTTCATTTCAGGAAATTAGTTCCTGGAGGCAGCTTGAAGTCGGAGAGATGACTCTCAAGGTCGGAACGAGAGAGGTCATCTCAGTTGTGGCGGTAGGGGAGCTCAAGTTGTCTACGAATAAGAATTTATATATATTATTAGATAATGTGTACGTAGTTCCAAAAATCAAAAGGAACTTAATTTCAATGACTTTTTTGTTAGAACATTTGTATTACCTTTTTTTTCAATTAAATGAAGTGTTCATTTCTAGAAATGGAGTAAATATTTGTTCTGCTAAGCTTAAAAACAACTTGTATGTGCTAAGACCAACCATAACTAAAGCAGTTTTAAATACCGAGTTGTTTAAAAATGCTAAAACTAAAAATAAAAGGCAAAAAGTTTCTCGTAAAGAAAATAACTATCCTTGGCACTTAAGATTAGGTCACATTAATCTCAATAAGATTGAGAGGGGGGTTGTTTTGAAATCGAAATGAAAGAGATAGGGATTTGGGGATTTTGGAGGACTTTCGACGACAACTTAAATTTTGTCGCCAAAGGCCCCCAAAAATCGTCGCTGAAAGTAGAGGGAAAAATGGCCAGGTGAATTCCCGCGTAACCTTTGGTGACGAATTTCAAATTGGTTGCCAAAAGGTCATCTTTTAGCGACGACTTCTACAAGCCATCGCTGAAAGGTTCCCCTTTTGGCGATGATTTCTAAAAGTCATAACCTAAAGTCTTCACTGGGCGGGATTTTAATCGCCAAAATTGGACTTTAGGCAACGAAATTAGAACTCGTCTCTGAAAGGGGTCCTTTCAACGACGAAACAAGTGTTCGTCGCCAAAAGTTTGCACCTTCAATGACGAACACCATTTTTCGTCGCTGAAGGTTGATATCTGCAACCACGAAAGTAAATTTCGTCGCTGAAAGGGGGTACTTTCGGCAACGAGTACCATTTTCGACGCCGAAAAATATTTTTGGCTACGAAATGCATTTCGTCGCCAAACATCTCGTCGCTGAAACTGAAATTCTTGTAGTCATTTTCGCCACAAATTTATGGGGGTAATAGTAGGATAAATTTACCTATTTTGATGGGAGGGTAAATTTGTCCATATAAAATCTATAGTTCAACTCTAACTGTCTTTTAATCATTTTCATGATATGTGATTGTTTTGGCCATTTTTCAAATCAAACTATTTAATATAACTACTTCTCCGGTTGCCCATACATTTTATCCTTTAAAGATGCAACCCAAGGTTGCCCATACATTTTATCCTTTAAAGATGCAACCCAAGGACCCAACATTACCCCACTCGAAACTATTGGGTTGGGTTGGGTTGACCATTATATTTGATTTTGTCAATTCACTAATCTCACCAACCTGAAAATTCGAGTTGGTCCAAAAAACCACTCTAAATCAACCCACCCAACCTGTGAACATCCTACCGGAATGAGAGTTAAAACATTGGAGTGGTGAGCACAAGGCGCTATCACAAGTGTTTTTATAGAAAAATCAGCCCAGAATTTTCATACAAGGGTTGAGAAAGATATTAGCTCATGGTTAAAGTACAAAATTTTGCAATGAAATGAAATAAAAGATTGCCATTAAATTAAATAATAAGATGTTTTCAACAAAGTAAAAGAAAAAAAGCTTTACATAATTCAAGAATGACGAGAAGCTTTCTTATTGCTCACATTTTTCTTTCCAGCTCAAGAGGATATACATAATATTAAGTATCATTTATATATTTAATATTCTCGATATAAATATAACTTATATTCGATATATTAGTTATATCAATAATATTATTATTATTTGTATAACTTATTAACTAATATTAAGTATAAATTACTTAGTGATATACTTATATTATGTGTATCAATTATATCATACAATTGACATAAATAATATCCAATATACTTCATTTTTAAGTATATTAATTTTTGTAAATAATGTCGCAAAATCAAAATAACATAAAAATGAAAATATAATTATAAAATTTTAATTTTACCATATTTTTTTTTAAAAAAAGAAACTGTTGCTATATTTGCAAATATCCACATATTTTGTTACCTGTTTATGCAAGGATATGCACAGCAGTGTATTTCAGATTGCAGCTCGAACTCGGCCTCTGGACTGATCTGAATACTTGGGCGGACCTGCACAAAAAGGTGAGCACTCCGACGATCAAGCCAGTATAGGTCGGATTCCCAGTTTAGTTCGAGGTCAGAAATCATCGTACCTGATCATGGAGTGAGGTCCTCTACTTATGGGTGGTAGTCCCGCTAATCTCGCGACGGTTACACCCGGTAATCTCGGGACCGACGGTTACACCTGATAATCACGCCGCTGACAGTAGCTCACCTCGGTCCCCACCGAGCTTCCCGGTAGATCAGACCTCGGCCAGGTTCACCTCGGCCCTCATACTTAGCATCTGTCAACGCTAGTGGTGGTGATCTCGGCGGCCCGAGCTGGACATGACTCATGAGTCATCTTGGAGCACCAATAGGGGTCCTCCACGTGTCCAGGGTATTTTCTTCCCGAAACAGTACCTATTAAGAATACCTAAATATATATCTCTCTAGAAAATTATTTTTTCATGCAAAATATTTCCTTTCAAATTTTGCTTTATCCATAACAAATTAAACTAGTAGTTCATATTCGTGTATAAAGGTCGTAACCTTTTTGTTCCCTCTAATATTTGTTGCTGTTAGATTCAACTCCTCACTTCAATTTCATCTTAAACAATCATCCATCTATTAGAAACTACCATGAATAGTTGAAAATGAGATACCTAATCCTATAATTTTTTATTAAAAATGATATCTTTTATGTTTTATAAAGTATAATTTATTCATATACATCTATTAATATCGTTTAATTCAACAATAATTTTCGAATCCTTAACTCTCCCATTCTTCGAAAATTATCGATTCAGACACTCATCGGAGAAAATTCATTTTTTTGGACAAACTATGATGCTGAGCTATTATTTTCAATTTAATGTATGAAAATAAGTAAATAGATTTTTTACTTATTGAAATAAACTATATAATAGTAGATGAAGAACAGCAAAAGGATAACATTTATGTCCAATTAAGAGTGAAAGATAAATTAAGATTAAGAGGCTTATGGCAAGGGAACCAAATTACAATAATCTGCAAGTGCCCACAATGGAAATACATTCTTATATAATGGATAGTGTAGCATGCAGTTGCCCATAAATGCTCCAGTAATTTCCTGCCATACAAATAAATTTTTTTATATTTAAGAAATAATTAATAGTTTGAAATAAAAATAATTTATTACATTAACATAAACCCACCTGTTGGGGGTAATCACCATCTTCCAATTGGGAATTAATCAATAACTTGGCAGCACGGTGAACAGGAGTTGGATCTCTGTTTGCCTATAGTCATTTATTAATTTTATAATTTATACACGTTTCTATATATTTAAATAAAATTGTTAAGGAATCGTCTGAAACCATTTAGCCAAAAGTTAAAAAAAAAAAAACAAAAACAAAACAAAACAAAAACAAGTTTTTTGAAACCCACTTTTATTTTTTTTTCAAAATTTAGATTTTGAAAATACTTATAAGTGAAGTTTAATTTTTTTTTAATAAAGAAAGAAAAGAAATGGTTATCAATTAGGGATAAAATTACTGACCTGTTGAGCATGGATTAAAGCCATCAAAGCAAAAGAAGTTTGAACCAGATTGGAAGCATTGTGTTGAAGAGGTGTATACACTTTTTTTGTAACGGAAACGTGACTCTCTCCCCAACCACCATCTGGACATTGAATTTTAAGTAGAAAATCCACACCTCTTCTTATGGTTGAGCAACTGTCGTAACTGTATCCAACTGCCACTAGTCCTTTTATGGCAAAATATGTAGCGTATAAATGACAAATTCCCCAGTTTCCATACCATGATCCATCGTCTTTCTGCATTTCTTTGATATAGTTTACTCCTTTCGTTATAAATGTTTCGATCTCTTTCTTCCTATGATTTGGAAATAGCTTCTTAAATAGCACTAGCGCCTGTAGCGATGATGATGTGCATTCCACGTACCTAATTTAAATGATTCCAATCATCAATAAACAAATGGAAAATATATAGGTCAAATAGATCATCAATTTATAAAGAATGTAATATTTTTCAAATGATATTCTTAAATTATCTACTTACTCAAGCTCCAATATCGAGTATTCTAGGAATTCTACTGGATTTAGTCGCTGAAAGGAGAGGATAAAGAAAAAAAATAAAGGTATTTAATTAGCAGCCTCTCTTTTTACTTTTGAGATTTATATTCTAGCATATATATCTCACAGAGATCGTGTATTTACCTCGAACCATGATGATACAATGCCTGTTGGCTCCCAAGCTGAAACTCCACCATTTTTCGCCTAATTATTTGAGAGAAAACACTTAGAAATTGATCATTAAGAAGTTCATTCCTTACACTAAGCAATAGGTGGAAAAATTGATGTAAACATATTATGATAAAAGAAGAGAAAAATATAACATGAGGCGAAAGTATAATATTGAGTACTTATCAATTTGTACATATTTTAAATGTAATTTAAAATGCATTTAAAAAATATGAAAAAAAAAAGAAAAAAGAATTACTAAACATTCAAAATTACAATCATTACCTGAAGGGATAGTATAATATTGACAGCATCAAAAAAGCATTGTGGTTTCATCGGATCTCCAACCATGTCCGGAGGCATTGTGGATAATATCAAACAACACTGAGACATCATTATATATTAATAAATGAGAAGGTCATTTAAAATTTTAAATAATATGCAAATTAAAGAAGTAGAGTTTTCAACACCGTTAAATTTTCAGCAGTACAATCAGAAAGTTGCCATCCATGGTCTTGATCAGAGAATGACCATGATCCTTTTGATATGTGACGATACATGCTTTGAAAATCACCCGAAGGATTCTCTCTAATCTTGATACGAGTAGATAAAACAAATGATTAGTTTAACACACCAAAATTGTAACTCTAATTAACTACACACTCATAGATCAATCTACGTGAATAAGTTAATAAATACCTGTGATTTTTTAATGAAGTCATGCCCTTTCTTAAGCGTGTCTGAGAATTCACGGTGGAAATTTGTAGCAAGAATCGCTTGAATGGCAAAAGCAACATCCCATGATTGGCTACCAAAACTCTGCGTGAGCATATACGTATATGTATATATATACACACATGAGTTCTTTATATATATTACTCTAATTATTTACTATAATTATAATATATATTGGTACCAAGTTTTCAATAAAATATCTATGAATTAATGAATAATACTAACTTGAATCTTCATTCCATCTTCACCGATCCATAGATAATCTTTGACTCGAGCAAGATGTTTCTTATAAGCTTGTCCATTAGGATCATCAACCCAAGTAGCAAGTGTACACAATGGCTGCAAGTTCAGTAGCTCTCTACCATATTAGTTAAGTCACATTTGTAATTTGAATATTATCCTAAAGGCTAAATATATGATTTAGTCCTTAATGTTTGATTTTAGTTTAGTTCAATGTTGTGTAAAGATTCCAACTTAGTCTCTAATATGTTTAGCATTTTTCAATCATATTATTCTCGTTAGTGAAATATAAATGTAGATGATGATTAGCTTACATAACATGATACTTAGTAAGTTTATCAAAATTTAGTGGAGGAATCAGACCACAGAGAGGGTTTTTTTTTTTTTTT